AAACTTGATAAAAGTCTACCTTCATGATCTATTTTGAGTTCTTTTCAGTCTTGAACTGATTACATTAAGTTTTCCTTGTTTGTGTTCTTCATTTCATGAATTGGGTATTTGGTTTCCTCCATTTTTGATTAGGTAAACCTTTATGTTTGGATGTATTAGGATGTTTATGTCAAACCATGTTTTGGAAGATCATTGGATCACCAAAGATGTTATATGATTGTTTTAAGCTGTAAATTGGGAGCTAATTTGAGTTTTTCGGAAGTTATGGGTATTTTGGTTGATCAGGAAATAATAGGTTGAACCAGAGTTTTCGAGGGGGTTGTGCAACCTCAGCTCCACGACCTAGGTCGTGTAAGTCCATGTGGTCCAAATTTAATGTTTGTCCTTTGTATCCTTTTGGGATTTTTAAGGTATCATTTATGTTCCTCAGAGATTGTTTAAGGATAAGGTTAGGATATATCCACCTAGATTATAACATTTGCTTGTTTTATTCAGATTAGAACGTTCGGTATTGATTATCTATTGTCTTTTGAAGTTTGTTTTATCGTATACCATATCAAGTGAGTTTTCTTGTACCTTTTTCAAATGAAATGCATATTTATATCAATTCCTAATATACCAGAGCTATAGATTATAGTTATGCATTATGATTACCATAGGTAGTTATATGGTATGAGTTATGTGTTGGGCAAACCAAATCCAATGAGACTCGTTACTTGTGTTATAGGATAAGATTCTTACACAACAGGTTCATGTGTACGTGTGAGACTGTAATGGTCCATGCAGATGATAACTATAATCCATTCATATGTTTCTTATGGTTCCACTGCCGATATTGAATGCGATCAAGTTGGAGTATGTGTTTTTATTAAAGCAACTGTTGTGGATAGTTACTTTGTGGGGATGTAGCCTTGTGAGCTTACATTGTTCTTACTTGATGTAATTGTTTTATATCAAAGTTGATTTCATTGGATTCTATCACTGACAGAGAAACTCACTAGACTATATGGTGTAACCTTCATTTTGTGTTTAAAATATGCATTACATAGCCGCTTTGTTTAGAAGGAAAAAAGGAAGGGTAAATTGTGAGACCATATTATTTGGATTCTCTTAAATATAAAGTTAGTTAAGAGGAAAATAATGTATGCTTTTGATCTTACTCCCTCTGTAGTTTCGTTGTATCAGAATCATGTCAATAAGTTATGTGGTAGCTTACTTTGATCCATGTATGTATAATAGTTTTGTTTGGATCCATGTTGCCTTTGATTTGGTATATTATGTATGGATTCCTTTAATATGTTAATTAGAATTTCTAGGTTGTTACATCATTGGAGTCATGCTAGTAAATGGTTAACACACGTCTTTTTTATCGGTGAGTGAGCAACAACTTCTTAAAATGTTTTGATATTTTGCACAAAGTTCGGGATTCAAAAACTATCATCTAAGATGTGTCATGATTGATAAAATAGTTATCATATCTATACTATATTATAAAACATTTGGCTAAAACTCTTAAAAACTCTTAAAACCGTTCATCCCTATCCGATTTCATTGCATATTTGAATTTGTGTAACTAACTGCAGATAAACACAATCAAATACAGGATAAACATATCATTTTAAATAAAAAAATCTAAAATATAATAAGTATAATCATTAAATTCTAACAGAATACTTAATTACTATCTTTATAAAATTTATAATATTAAATCAAAAATAAATTATTTTATTATTAAACTTAAATTAAATTATATATAAAAATATATATTCTATATTAAAAACCATTTGACAAAAACTCTTAAAAACATATATTCTATATTGTTTCTTAATATAAGTATTGATAATGGCTTGTATAGTTTGTTAGAATTAGATGTTTTATGAATGAAACGTTCCCTATATAGGTGTGTGTGTATATATATATATACTATATGATAAAACATTTGACAAAACTCTTAAAAATGATTTTTTATGCACATACTGTTTATTGATGCATATTACTTAAAGTTTAAGATTATAAGTAAATTATGCATAAGTACAACTTATTAAAGCTCCATATTTGAATTCGTCTAACTAACTGCAGATAAACATAATCAAATATTAGATAAACATCTCATTTTAAATATAAAAAATCTAAAATATAATTAGGATAATTATTGATAACTAACA